TTCAAGTTGTTGTTCCAATTTTTGCGGAAATACCACCCAGAGGTGCCCAAGGACCCGCGAACTCTCATGCAGACACCGCGAGCATGCGTTACTGAGTCCCTCTCTAACGGCAGCTACGTCCACCTGGGCCTTAAACGCGGTCTGTTAGATGAGCTTCAACTTCGACCTTCGGCTTTGTTCCCGAAAATACGGGTTCAACTCCACATTGACGGAATGAAGCTATTTAAAGGGTCTGGCCAGTGTCTATGGCCAATCCTCGGTCGAGTCAGCTATCCTGTCCGTGGACTGCCGTTTGTTGTTGGAGTGTTCTCTGGTTCCGGCAAGCCTGAGCCTTTGGATGTATTTCTTGGCCAGTGCATCTCAGAACTGAAGGATATTCTGACCAGCGGACTTCAGGTCCCGGATACCGACGCTGTAGTTAGAGTTGAGCTGGCCAACGTCATCTGCGACACACCTGCTCGGTCCTACGTCCGGCAAGTAAAAGCGCATAATGGCTATTACGGCTGCGACAGGTAATTGCTATAATCGACGAAAATGTAATCCTCCTAGGTGTTGTCATATGGGTAGGTGCGTGGCAAACCGCATGATCTTCCCCGTACACAGAGGGCGTCTGCGGGATGACAGGTCATTCCGCACAAGAAGTCAGGAGCAGCACCATAAAGGCACCTCACCTTTCGAGGACCTGCCTATTGATATGGTTGCTACATTTCCAATTGACTACATGCATCTCGTTTGTCTTGGAGTCATGCGGAAGCTCCTGCATATGTGGCGGCTTGCAACGGGGAAACAGTCAATTGCTATTAATGAGTCTATTAAACAATGCAGTCAATGTCTGCCTGCTGAATTTTCCCGCAAGTGCAGACCTCTTGACTGTCTTGAATACTGGAAGGCTGCAGAATACCGGCAGTTCCTACTGTACATCGGTCCTGTAGTCCTTGCTAACCATCTCGATTCCTCCCATTATGAACATTTCCTTCTTTTGTTTGTTGCCGTTTTTATATTTTCCCATCCCATTTTGCATAAATCCCTAATTGATTTTGGACGTATGCTGTTAGATAAATTTGTTTCTGATTTTCCAATCTTGTACAGTCCTGCAGATCTTGTTTATAATGTTCATTGTTTAGTCCACCTCCATGAGGACGTTAGTCGTTTTGGAGTTTTGGACAATTTTTCTGCCTTCCCTTTTGAATCTTTTTTACAAACCCTTCGCGGTACCATCAAGGGTCCAAGTAATGTAGCCGCACAGGTGTACAAACGTTATTCTGAGAGACGTTTGCCTGAGTTGCCAACTATGGTCAGAACGTGACAATGGAGCCCTGTTTTTTACGCAAAAAAGCTTGCTATGGTTAGTCAGAATATGATCAAGGGGGGCATCTGCGCGAGTATTAAAGTATACAAGATCATCGAAGCCTAAAAGTGTAAGGGGACGTAAATTCACGCGATTAAAATCACCGCATAAGAGAGTAAGATAGTCGCAGGATAATATAGCAAGTTTTTGTGAGAGGAAGTCGAAAAAACGCGTCAATGCGCCTTCACAGGAAGAGGGTGGAATGTAAATACTAACAAATATGATGCCTTTAAAATTACTTAACAAACGGGGCTTACATAAAACAGCGACTACATCTATTAAATCATCAGAGTAAGAAAAAAAGGACTTACAGTCTCTACACCAATTTTGATTAACGAAAATGGCAACGCCCCCACCTCTGCCACAAGATAAAGATTTTCTGTCTGTTCGAAAGCAGTAGAAGGATGGGGGCGTAATAAGCTGAGAATCAATGTCACTATTAAGCCACGTCTCTTGAAGGCAAACAACTTCAGTTTTGCTGTGTTCTTTTTTCGACAAAAGTAGCTCCAAATCATGGGTTTTGTTGAAAATAGAACGACAGTTTGTCGACAAGAAGGCAGGAATTGACAATTTGTGATTCGGCTGACGTTTGAATGCGAATTGCCAGCCACAACGGTGTTTTCTCCGATGCATAGGCCGTTGTTGACGAATATTTGATAAAGTCAACACAGAACGATCACAAATACGACATATTGGTCGTAAAGTACAACAGTTTGCTTCATGGTCATTCGTAAGTGAAATTGACAATTTAATTCCGTTCAAAAGGGTGCTAGCGTACTGTAGAGACGACCTCATAAACTTAGCTCAGACAAACAAAGGATGCAAAACAATTCAAAATATCGAAGAGAAAAGGCACAATAATGTACAATTAGTAAAAATCCACACGTGAATGGAGAGCTACAAAAAATGGCAGCTCAAATTCAAAAGCCACGACCAAATCAAAACGAAAACTCAGAATAAGCACTGACAAGGAAATTGACCGAGTTTAAGAGAGAACAGTGAATTGTTTTGTCTGTTGCAGGATAATGACTAATAGCTATCAGCGACGCTTATAACGGGTCCATATTTCCAAAATATTAAAATAAAATGAACTACGCTGCATTTGTTAGCAGGTACCACAGTTAAACCCTTTCAAAAGGGACAAATACTGAGCAAAGGTTTTTTGATCAAAGAATAATATAATAACTGCAAGCCCGTTATATGACTTAAAATTTTTTGATGGTTAGATTGCATATAAAGCGGAAAGTGATATGCCAACTTTCCTCAACATATTCGTCACTGGCAGCGCATTTGACACCTATATAAACATTAAGCTGATATTGGACAGAAACCGCGTCCTCTCTCTCTCTCTTCGAATGAAATTCACACATTGCTAGTAGACAACAAAGAAGGCGTCTAGATGCCCTATCTTTATTTTAAAGGCTTTTCTCACTGAATCTTATTTTCGGTTTCGACATCACTTATGTGAAACCATCTGGTTCATAAATGATAAGGACTTCCTTGAAGAGTCTGTGGAGGACTCATTAGACGTCTTTTCCCAGGGAAGCATGATGCATAGTCCTATTTGCCAACGACTCTCATAATATTTTTCTCAGCGCAGTATGTCCTGGTTAACTGATGCATCTGCCTACAAGACAGAGACCAAAACGACCAGGATTGCATTTAAGGAAAGAATGAGTTTAACCAGTGTTCATCCGACAGAAACGTTTTTTGCATGAGCATTGAAGCCCTGTTGCAACCTTTGAACAATGATTGCCAAACAAAATAAGTTCAGCTATAGTAGGTCATATCTGGGATTTGATGGGGGCAACACCCTAAGATGAACGACTGAAGTGGATGTGTGGACGACGGAAAGCCCAGGTAGACTGGCCTTAGAGACCGACCTGGTCACAGCCTCCTTAGTGTATCCGCGAGTAGTGGATAATAAGTCAGTCTTCAGCGAAAGCTGTACGTAAAATGAACTGAATCCCGGATCTGGTAAATAGACCGAATTAGGGCATATAGTGGTTATACTTTCAGACGTTATTTCCCACCGATAGGCCGTATAACGTAACTGCAAATGCGTGCTACGTCGTAGTTATGTTCAAACATGGTCAAATTTAGCTTGCTCATTGCTAAGGCTTCAGCATTTACCCACAAACCGCTGGCAAACCTAGTTTCAACCAGTTATTTGGCCCCCTCACACAAGCAGTAACACGTCGTAACCTTCGGTGTATTGCTGAAGAAGAAAGGCAGCTGACCTAAGAGGGGGGAGGGAGGATGGCTCTGTGAGACTTGTTGTGTGAAAATTGGAGTTGTTCTTGCGCACTGCGAAATAAGAAGGCATCAAGACAAAAACACACCTTCGGTTCAATCTTTTTTTGCTTTCTGACAGCTGAAAAACATGTTGGAGGAATGACCCCAAGCGAGTAAATTTTCGAATCTAGTCAGGCGTTTGCCTTCGTTCGATGCTGCAATAGGCGATTCAGAAGAATCTTTTTAGTTAATGGCTTTCTCTTGCTGTACGACACTCGCCGTCGGCGGAAATGCGTTGTCAATGAGAATTATACAGGCGGCTGTCGTTAACCTAGGGGTTGAGAACTGCAACGCATTGTCTTGTAGATATGGTGGTGGTCTTAACTTGGTCAGTAATAACGTCAGATTGCCTTTGCAGCTGTGTGAGTAGAGGATACTATGCAGTGTGTTGAGCGCCGTATCGTTGAAGACCGCGCCCTCATTTGTGTGTGTGTGTGTGTGTGTGTGTGTGTGTGCGTGTTTTTCTCTGACTGATGACCGTGTCCGCTTGTCCACGCTAGTTCTAAGTCCCATAGCGTTAGGTATTGTGTATGCTCTCTCCTACTTCACTCCATCACATCATCACCTCACCACCAAGGTCCCTGCCTAATTCGGGTCGTTCTCTCACTAACAAATAGTCGTGGCCCATAGTGGAGTTCGGCAGCCCTCTGGGATAACCGGGCAGCCCTGTTCAGGGATGCATTGCCTGCCCCCGCGAGGGGGAGGGGGCTAGAAAAGGTGCCCTAAAGATCGCTGCGATCCACGCTGTCTGTAGGCTGGCCGTGACCGCAGACAAAAAACACACGGTCGAAACAGCCAAAACCGAAACAACAACAACAACAACAACAACAACAACAACAACAACAATCACTCTCTTCCTCTTCCAGCCTATTCTTCTTCTTCTTCTCCTACTCCTACTTTTCGCCGCCGCAGTCGCCAGACTGGCAGGGTGAGCCCGCTCACTCTGGCAGCCTGGAATGTTCGTTCCCTTTTAGACAATCCGAGGAGCAACCGACCGGAACGGAGGACGGCGCTAGTGGCGCGAGAACTGGCGCGTTACAAGGTGGACATCGCCGCACTCAACGAGACCCGATTCTCCGAACAAGGCCAACTGGAGGAGGTGGGTGCCGGTTACACCTTCTTCTGGAATGGTCGACCCAGGGCAGAGCGACGAGACGCGGGTGTCGTGCTGGGTCCCCACGGTCTCCGCGGCTCCAACGACAACGGCCTGCTGCTCCTCCGCACCTGCGCAGAACACCGCCTCACCCTGACGAATACCTTCTTCTGTCTGCCGGAGCGAGAGAAGGCCACCTGGAGGCATCCTCGGTCGCGTCAGTGGCACCTGCTGGACTATGTCCTCGTCCGGAGGCGAGATCAGCGGGACGTGCTGGTGACGAAGGCGATCGCGGGTGCTGACGGGTGGACCGACCATCGCCTCGTCATCTCGAAGATGCGTATTCGCCTACAGCCTCGCAGGAGACCACAAGGTAAGCGACCCCCAGGTAAGCTGAATGTTGCTTTGTTGTCTTTGCCTGCTCACCGTCTCCATTTCAGCAATGAGCTAGCTCAACTGCTAGACAACCTTCCTATCGCTGCCGCCGCCGACGACGCCGCCGCCGCCGCCTCCGCCGCTGCCGAGAACGCCTCCGTGGAGAACCGCTGGTGTCAACTGCGTGACACAGTCCAATCGACGGCGCTCGCCGTCCTCGGTCGCGCTCCCCGCCAACATCAGGACTGGTTCGACGACAACGACGCTGCCCTCAGAAATCTGCTTTCCGAGAAGAACCGCCTACACAAAGCCTACGTAGATCACCCCACTGAGGACAACAAAGCTGCCTTCTACCGCAGTCGCCGACAGCTTCAGCAACGACTGCGCGAGATGCAGGACGCCTGGACTGCTCGCAAAGCTGAGGAGATCCAAGGCTACGCGGACCGCAACGAATGGAAGAACTTCTTCTCCGCGATCAAAGCTGTCTACGGTCCGCCGACGAAGAGCACTGCTCCTCTCCTCAGCGCCGACGGCAACACTCTCCTGACTGAGAAGACACAAATCCTACAGCGATGGGCCGAGCATTTCCAGGGCGTCCTCAACCGCCCTTCCGTCATCTCCGACGCCGCCATCGCCCGCTTGCCGCAAGTGGAGACCAACGTGGAACTCGACCTCCCACCATCTCTCCAGGAAACGATCAGGGCCGTGCAGCAGCTCTCCAGCGGGAAAGCACCCGGATCGGACGCAATCCCTGCTGAGGTTTACAAGCACGGAGGTCCCCTACTGATGGACCACCTGACTGCGCTCTTCCAGGAGATGTGGCGTCAAGGTGAAGTCCCGCAAGATTTCAAGGACGCAACTATCGTGCACCTTTACAAGCGAAAAGGGAATCGCCAAGTCTGCGACAACCACCGCGGCATCTCCCTACTGAACATCGCCGGGAAGATCTTCGCTCGCATCCTGCTCAACCGCCCCAACAACCATCTGGAACAGGGCCTTCTGCCGGAAAGCCAATGCGGCTTCCGTCTTCATCGCGGGACCACGGATATGATCTTCGCCGCCCGCCACCTTCAGGAGAAGTGCCAGGAGATGCGGACCCACCTGTACTCTACCTTCGTGGACCTGACGAAAGCCTTCGACATGGTGAATCGTGAAGGACTGTGGAAGATCATGCAGTAATTCGGCTGCCCGGAGCGATTCACTCAGATGGTGCGTCAGCTGCACGACGGTATCATGGCGCGAGTCACGGACAACGGAGCTGTCTCAGAGGCATTCGCAGTGACCAACGGAGTGAAGCAGGGCTGTGTGCTGGCGCCTACCCTCTTCAGTCTCATGTTCTCTGCCATGCTGATGGACGCCTACCGCGACGAACGCCCCGGGATCCGCATCGCCTACAGGACGGACGGTCGTCTCCTGAATCAACGGCGCATGAACTTCCAATCGCGTGTATCCACAGCCACCGTGCACGAACTCCTCTTCGCCGACGACTGCGCCCTGAACACCACCTCCGAAGCGGAGATGCAACGGAGCATGGACCTATTCTCCGCCGCCTGCGAGAACTTCGGGCTGGTTATCAACACGCAGAAGACGGTTGTGATGCATCAGCCGCCTCCCAACTCAGCCACAGCCCCCAACGCGCCGCCGCAAATCAACGTGAATGGGACTCAACTGCAAGTGGTAGAGAACTTCCCGTACCTGGGCAGCACGCTCTCCCGCAACACCAAGATCGACGACGAAGTCGCCAACAGGATCTCGAAAGCCAGTCAAGCCTTCGGTCGCCTCCAAAGCACAGTTTGGAATCGTCATGGTTTCCAACTGAGCACAAAGCTGAAGATGTACAAGGCCGTCATCCTGCCGACGCTACTGTACGGAGCGGAGACCTGGACGGTGTACACGAGGCAAGCACGTCGACTAAACCACTTCCACCTCAGCTGTCTCCGCCGCATCCTGAGGCTGAACTGGCAGGACCGCATCCCCGACACCGAAGTGCTGGAACGGACGGGAATTCTGAGCATCTACTCCACACTGAAACAAATGCAGCTTCGCTGGAGCGGCCATCTGATGCGCATGGACGACGAGCGACTACCCAAACGACTCTTCTACGGAGACGTCGCGACGGGTTCTCGTCGTCAAGGAGGCCAAATTCGCCGTTACAAGGATACACTGAAGTCCTCCCTGAAGCGCCTGCACATCAACCCGACCAACTGGGAAGACCTCGCCCGCGATCGTCCGATATGGAGGAGAACAGTGAAGACGGGCGCTGCTATCTACGAAGCCAACCGAATCGCCGCCGCCAAATTGAAACGCGAAGCCCGCAAATCACAACTTCGCCCAATACGCAACGCCGCCGCACAACCTCTCCCTACGTGTCCTCGATGTCAACGGACATTCCGGGCACGAATCGGACTTGTTGGACATCTTCGGATCAACTGCACCTCTCGAAATGCTCCAGCCATCGTCCCCCCGCCCGCCGGTTCCTCGTCCTCTGTGCCGCCAACTAACTCTGACACTCCCTCTGCACCACCACTTCCATCCTCCTCCTTCTCCTCCACTGCCCAAGCGGTGGCCGTTCAGGGTGCCGTCTCACACATCGCCAACCACGACACAACAACCGCAACCACCCCCACCCCTCCCGATTACAGTGATGAGGATCAGGACTACGCCTGCCCTCACTGTGACCGCACCTTCACTTCACGCATTGGCCTGGTCGGTCACTTGCGAATCCATCGCACAGAGACTGGCAAACCAGTGCCTGGAGCACCAGCCTACACTCACCGCACTCGCCTCCACTGCCCGCACTGCCCTCGCACCTTCACGCATCGCATGGGTCTATTCGGCCAAATGCGGATCCACGAGAGCGGAATTGGCCACAATTCCGATACAGCCACGACATCCAACACATCCACCACGCCCAGAACAATCCTCGCTCCACCGTCACACGCGTCGACCACCACCACCGCCACCACCACCAACACCACTGCTTCCTCTACAGCTGACACCGACACCGCCGACCTCTCATGCCCACATTGTCCACGCACCTTCACCTCACGCATCGGCCTGGTGGGCCACTTGCGAATCCATCGCACAGAGACTGGCGAACGAATGCCTGGAGCACCAACCTACACCCACCGCACTCGCCTCCACTGCCCACACTGCCCTCGCACCTTCACGCATCGCATGGGTCTATTCGGCAACATGCGCATCCACGACGACCTGCGGTAGACAACCGCCGGTCACACCACACATTCTTCACTCCCTACCTCCTAACACCATCACCCCACCAGACATCAACCTTCACACACCCCATGCACTCAACTGCCGCCTCCCACGCAAGTGGGAAGTGTGCATCTCGACTCGGTCCCCATGCGCCTTCGGCTGCACGGGTGACTTGTGTCCGAGACTATCCCGACACGTCAAGTGCCGTGGATAGGAAGGTTGCTGATTGAGGCCCGCTCTCGGTTCACGCAGTTCGTCACGTTGTGTGTGTATGTTGTGTGTAGTGGCGGACTGGTGGGCTGGGGACGGGCTGAAGCAGAACCTTCCACGGCACTCTCACGCAAATGGGAGACACGCCGTTCAACCCCCGTTGTGTGAAATCCTGGTGTTGTGTGTATGGGGGGCCAGGTCGTGCCGTGGCGCGCGCAGTCATGGTCAGTCGACCATGACAGCCACCGCGCCCATTCCCTACTCCAGTCTGCTGACCGGCTCGGACAGCGTCTAGGGTGTGGGAGTGGGAAGGGAGAGTGAGGTCGACGACTCAGCGCACTTTCTTCTCACTATAAACAATCTGACGCGCTTGAAGCTATCACGGTGCGCTAAAAGCCGTGGCTTGGAAGGTTGGCAACTGACGGGGTATCTTGGACCTCCTCCTTGACCCAAAGCGGTCTGAGAGTCAGGCTGCAATGGCTCCTTATTAATGTGGCATTTATGGCACTCCCATTACAGTGTGGGATCCGAGCCAGGAGTTGGCGGCACGCCCAGGTGCGGCTTCGGCCGTGCCAGCCTCCAAATCTCTGCTGTGTTGGTTGAAATCCTGGTCATTGTTGTGTGGACCAGGGGGTGTGGTGGAACGCCAAGGTGAGGATCCGTCCGAGCCATCCACCTGCGGCCTCCCTCGTCTCCGGTCTTCTTGACTCTGTCTTGACACCGGGCCCAGGCGGGGGAGGAGGAGAGAGTGTAGGTAGATGCTACGCAAGTCTACCGGCACTATAAACCCCTGCGTAAGTCACCGTCCGTGCTCCCACCGCTGCTGCAGCTGTGGGGCACACGGTGGACATCGTCGAAATCGACGGTCGAACTGTCGTGTGTGTGTGATGTGCCCTCCAAACGGGTCACGTGTTAGATGCACTGGACCAACACGAGGGCCACACCGGATTCTGGCAGGGGTTATCTGTGCGCAATAACAAATGCCAACATAAAGGTGTGCGCTGGCAGTCCCTGTCGTCGACGGTCATCGCGCAACTGGATCTCTGCCATCTTCTTATTGTTTTCTGGTCAAAATCCTGGTCATTTGTTGTATGGACTAGTGGGTGCGGTGTGGAGCGCCCAGGTGAGGATCCTTCCGTGTCATTCACCTGCGGCCTCTCTCGTCTCCGGTCTTTTTGACTCTGTCTTGACACTGTGCCCAGGCGGGGGAGGAGAAGATAGTGTAGTTAGATGCAGCGCAAGTCTAATGGCACTATAAACCGCTGTGCAATTCACCATCCCTGCCCTAACCATTTGATGTGCGGCCCACATTGGACAACTTCGGATGCGACGGTCGAACTGTTGTGTGTGTGAGCTTTCGCCCATAAAACGGTTCATGTGGTAGATGCACTGTCGCAACACAGGAGCTGGATCGGTGTCCGACAGGCTTTGTCGGGACTGTGCACACGCAACAAATGCCAACATTTGGGTGCGCTGGCAGGCTCACTCTGCGTTGTAGTTCTAAATTCTGGTTAAGTGTTTTTTGTGAGCGAACGAATGCGGTGGGGACGAATTACGCTGTGCAACCCACTAGCGGTCTATCCCGCCTCCGGTCCTCTTGACTTGGTCATGACATGAAGCTAATTTTGGGGGAAGGAGGAGGAGGAGGGGGAGGAGGAGGAGGAGGAGGAGGAGGAGGAGGAGGATGGAGTGTCGCGAAGTCAACGACTTCAAACGTAGTGGGAATGTCTTAGCTATGAGTCCCGAAATCGGCGTACTTATTGACGTGCCCTACACCTGATCGTAGATTGTTCCGTCGAACGTAAAGGACATCTTTAGACAGAACATTAGGAGTCGGATTATTTAGGCGTGATCGAGGCAATTTTTCGTTTCATCGAACTTCTCTAATAGGGGTAGTTCAATGATCTCGACTGTCGGGTCCTGTGTACTAGAATTAAAAATTGCCTGACATCATAGGATACCATGATGTAGCGTGGCAAGAGACTTACCCTTTTTAGTTTCTCCAAGAATTCCACTGATAATCTGACTGGGACATTCTTATCAGTGATCAGAAAATTGGGACGTCAAAACAGCCACTTTTCTAGTCCGTAGTTCGGAGTAGCTTTGAGTAGTACGATTAGCCGGAAATAACCGCCTTCTGTGTGCACAAGTGGGAGGCGGCAGTTTCGGCCCAGAGCCGTTTTTGGCAACAGCGTCGCAATGATTTGTTATGTCGTCATTTTTGGGGTGATATTCGCAGGGGACGTGGGACTGATTATCCTCCAACGACTTTTGACTTTCTGAATGTAAACTCTCCTGTCCATCACGACCGTTGTACACGTCCCCCCCCCTTCCTCAGGCCCGATGTTGAGACCGTTTTCGGCCTGGAGTTCCATATGTGCATCACGATGGACCTTGGAAAGACCGTCGCTGGGCCTATAAGCCATGAGGAGGGACGACATTTGGCGTCGAATAAGGCTCTCCGTATTGTCTGTCGTTTCCATTTAGCTGAGGAGTGACCCTACGACTGCAATGACATTGGCAGGTTTGGCATCGGGTGTGCTTTAGTATCCGCATTTGTCTCTTCGCCAGTTTCTTTGACGAACGGCTGTGTACTGGTTTATCGTTTTTGAATGACACTTGAGAAGGAAGCTTGCGAAATCCGTTCTCTAGTGCTGCTTCGCGTGTCACTCGTTGTTCGCGGGTTCGCACAGCCATCATCTGCTGAAGCAGTTTTGTACCGTTCTCGCCTGTGAACTCGCAAGACCTTGTCTGCCCTTGATCAATCCTCTGAGAGTATTCGCAAAGCCTTGTATGACAGTCTTGAAGGAGTATTTGGAGTATTCGTCCGTCTGGCTGAAGTACTGCGCGTCTCGCCAGCGCTATGGTAATCGGAGGTTTGTTTGGAACACACTTCGTCAAAGCATTATTGTCGAGACACCAGAGCAGAAACCTAATATGCGCATATTTAGGTGACTTTTGAAGGACAAACGTTTCCTACCGTTGCGGTGGTTGGCGCGCATCGCGCCAAAAAATAATGCTGATAGAACGGAACCAGCAAGTTCCATATTTCATTCTCAAGCCGTACCAATTTCTATAATGTCCACCAGAAGAATTCTTGTGTTCTTGTCTATTTGAAACATAGATGTCGCTGAGAAACCTAACTTCAATAATATCTGCGGACGGATTTCATATTTCTGGACTAGATGTGTACTTAAACCAGGCTTCATTCGCAGTTGATAGAGCCTCTAGTCAATTCGATTTTGGTTGAATCGATATATATTAGCAACGTGTATGCTGTAATACTCTATCGAGTGCCTGCATATCTCTTTACATTTAATGCCCTTGTTGCCGAATTCGTTTTATTAAAAAGTCTCCCACGACTTATATCTGGAATGTACAGTTTTTTATTTGGGTCTCTAAATGCAGAGCCTACTACTTTTAAATCCACTGAATTGCACTGAACCGAAGTATACTTAACGGAAGAAAATGCCACCTCGCAAGTTTAACTCCATTTCCACAGGCAAAAATATCGCAGTTAATTTTTTCGATAGAGACATTTGCGTTGCCCTTAAAAAGGACTAAATGCCCTTGAAGTCATCAGCGGAGATGTGCGTTTGCGAATTTATGATAACTGTTGAAGTCTCGTCAAGGTAAGGGAGAAAGTGCGGCTGACCCAAAATAGTGCCTTGAAGCAGGCCGCTCTTGATCTCCTGAAGTGTATGGAAGGAATTACCAACTACAACATGCTGACAACAGTTGGATATGTAGGACTCAATGAAGTCGAAAAGAAGAGGCCAAATGCCGAAGGTTCCCAGATCGGCACCTTGTCAAAGACCACCAAGATCAAAGTAGATAACTGCTGCTTGCTTCTGTTCAGTTACAGGTGAAGAGGCGATAAGATAAAAAAAACTTGTTGACAAGCCTCGCGATACTTTTTAGGAAAAAATGCGTGCAGGATAGAATGCTGAATTTGATTAACAGGACATAAATCAAAAATTCATTAAAATTATATTTTCGAGAAGTCTTGCTGGAGACGAAGTCTTACGCACTCACAATGGTTATAGACGTTGGGCCGGGATCCTGACTTGAGGGGCGGTAGGAGGGGTCCGCTGAAGGATAGCGCTGAGAATACACGACTAAGCGGCCAATGGGGTCTCAGGTTGCCATGATAACCGGGCTTGGAATGCGTCTGCTCCAGAGGGGTGTACGTACTTCAAACACGCCTGTTTCGGAATAAGTCTGGCAGAGACATCGGTGGTTTTAAGGGTTCTGTCTGAACGCCGACGTAACAAAAAATCGGTTTGGTCCAAGTAGCAAAATATAGTGCAAAGAAGGCAGTAAACAACTCCACTTTGTCAGTGCTATCGATGAAAAAACTTTGGTTATCATTTAACAAGGAAGAAATTTCGTGGCTACGGCTGGATGAGGACCAGCGTCGAAATATATCCGTTTTCTGTGTATCTCATTTAAAGAAGGAATATGCTACTGATAAATGTGCAGAAGAAAGAATGCTTTTGTGCCTGCTCCCTGTATAGTCTATTTGAATTTGGATGGCCAAAGGAATACAAGAGGAAAAATATGCAATGCCCAAATAGTCGACCTCTACTATGTATGATTGCTGCAAGCGGCTGTTAAGAAGCGCATCCAAAAGCCAACATCCTTGAATGACTGCGAAAAATGGGGATTATTCTGCCCGATAACCAATATTACATCCTTACTGAAGGAATAATTTTTGCTCGAAAACACCTTAAACAGTCTGACTCATTGCTCAGCATATTTAAGGACAATAGGTTCTGCCTTGCTATCCTGTTAAA